CCCTTTAAAGGCACCCCAAACCCTAAACCCTGAACCCTAAGGACCCTTATTCTGATTATCAAGGCCCCTACAGTTTTCCGACCTCAGGCCTCCTCCACCGCCTGGCCCACCGGTTCCTTGGTGTTCCACAGAAAGCAAGTTTTAGGGGTTCCTTTAAAGGGAACTATTAGGGTTCCTTTAAAGGGCTCAATAAAGGGTATTATAGGGGTTTAGGGTTTAGGGGTTTAGGGGGATAGGGTCTTTAACTAAGGGGTGCACCTTAAATCATAAAAGGGATCCTGCTATAATAAATAGTAAAAGGTATACTCCTTAATTAAGGGATAGTGGAGTCTCTGGGTTAGGGGTCTGAGCAAGTAGCAATGTTGGTGGGGCTTTCGGGGGTTCAGCGTTTTTCTGTCGGGTTTCTCTAGTTTTTGTATAGGTTTTACAGGTGTTCCTGCGTGCTTTACCCAGACCCCATCCCCTAATTTGGGGCTAAGGGATCTACTTTTTGGATCCTCCCGGGGTCTGGGTACAGACTCGAAGCCTTATGAAAATTCCTGATGCCCAAACTCCAAACCCCAGAGCCGCCACACTGAAACTGTAAACCGTAAGCCCTAAAGCCCCGAACCTTACTTGGAGGGTCGGGGGACTTAGTAAGTAGGTAGTAAGTAGACTTATAAGTACCCTAAAAGGGACCCTAATTGGGGTTATGGTGCTTATAAGTCCTTAAAGCAACCAGTTACTAAGTCCCCCGATCCTCCAAGTAGACCCTAAGCCACTGCGGTTCTTGAGTTGTTGGGGTTACTTGAAGAGTCGGGAACCTTAGTAATGTAAGTAGGTAGTAAGTAGTACCCTGAAAGTTTCTTGATTGGGGTTATGGTACTGATACTTAAGTCCATAAGATATCTAGTTGCTAATTCCCCGACCCTCCGAGTGGGCTTAGGGTCTAGGAGCCTTCAAGATTCAGGTCGCGGTTTCTAGGGTTTAGGGCTTTGGGGGTTTCGGGGATAAGGGTTCACAGTAAAGCCCATAAAGTTGGAAACCGGATTTAGGCCAACTAGTGCTGGGATTCCCTATACATTACTCTCAAGGATTGAGGCTATTGGGTTTCCAACTTTTGGGCTTCTACTGTCCGATGAATGAACCCTTCAAAGTTAATCAGGAGTTTTAACGGAATCCTGCCGTGTGAAGCGAGCGGTGATGGTTTGGGCTTCACAAGTTCGCGGTTGGGGATTGTCTGGTGTTTAAGGGCTTGACATAGATAGGGGCCTTGACGATGAGAATAGGGTCTTGGGGCATGTTGTAAATGAATGTATAGAGCCCCAAAACCACAAAACATTGAACTTGTCAGCTGTCGAATAGCACCGCAACGGCTTGGGAACGAAGCAAAAGGCTGCGAGAATCTTACTTCCAAAAACCCAGAGCCGTGAACAGTCGCCCTGAGGTGGACAGCATCTAAAACCGCATCTGGAGCGAGAGCCATAGTGACATTTTAAAATTCGAATTGTTTTCGGTACCTCCGGGGCGAGACGCAATGGGCTTCGATGCGGCGTGCCATGGCGTGTCCAACTGCATGCTCTCCCTTTGACCCGACCCCAGAGCTTTGGCACCAAGTCTTGATCCCAAAATGACTCGACCCAGTAGGCGCACTAGATTGAAACCCTAAACCCTAAAATCCTAAAACCCTGATACGGATAATTATTGATGTTACCTCAAGATTCTAATCCCCAAACCCTCATAGAGATATTTGATATTTGCTTCAAGAGTTCCTCTGTATAGTGACTCCCAGAAAGTTGGAACATGGATTTAGGATGATTAGTGCTAGGATTCCCTTTACTTTACCTTAAGGACATGAGGCTAATGATGTTCCAACTTTCTGGCTTCTACTGTAGTTGCTTCTGGGACTCCCAAGCCCATAACCCGAAGCCGAGAGCGATCTGGTGCTTTGGAGCTTCTTCTAGGCTCTTGCTAAGGGCGAGGGTTTAGGGTATAGGGTTTAGGGTTTAGGGTTTAGGGTCTGGCTGGCTCTCCTGGGTTTGGAGTACCATACTTGAATACTTTTTTTGGGTACCTGTGCCTAAAGGAACCATTATGAAATAAACTTCTATACTTTTTTCTCCCTGGGTACTTCTCGGCCTAGTGATTCTTAGTAGGGAATCGGGGAATGGATCCCTTTAGTACTCCCTATATAATCCCCATTAGTAGTCCCCATAACCCATTCCCTCATCCCTTACTAAGAACCAGACAGAGGAGGTAGTGTACAGTAGAAAACAGAAAGTTGGAACATCATAAGCCTCATGCCCTTAGATTAAGGTATAGGGAACCCCAGCATGAATCATCCTAAATCTATGTTCCAACTTTCCGGGGTTCTCCGTAAGTTAGCATTTTAGCGATCTACAGTAGACAATGTGGTTTCCTCGCTATGGAAGACTAGGGTTTAGGGTTACCCACATAGAGATCTATAGCAAATACTATGGTTTTCCCTATCATGGTAACTTGAATCAAAATCCCTAGCAAGAGTCCAGTCTGTACGTCTCCTACGAAACCTGGCGCGGCCGAAGGCATGCCGGTCTCGTGGATACGTTTCATAGTCGCCAGGCAAGCTGCTTCGGCATTCCCCAGATCCCAAAGCCTTCGAAAGGTCGTTCAGGGCCTTAGGGTTTGGGGTTTGAGGTTTAAGGGTTAGGGTTTAGGGTTTAGGGTTTAAGGGTTTAAGTGTTTAAGGCTAGTTTAAGGTTTAAACCACCAGCACCACAAGCAGGAAGGATCGTGGTGATGAACACGGCAATGGTGACAGTGATGATGGACATGGCCATGATGATGGCAACGGCAATGATGTATCCCAAAAGCCGTGGAAAAATCAGCAAATCCGGAGCTAGAGCCCTGAACGAGACCCTAAACACTAACCCTAGAACCCGAAAGCCCTAAACCTTAATATAAAAGCATGAACAAGTTCCACTGCTATTACTCAGGAGTCCTTATAAAGATCACACTATCATTTGCTCAAAGCCCCATTCCTACCATTAGGGCCCCTGTAGTGAACCCTTTTTCGTTAAAACTTATTGACCCCTTCTTAAGAACACTTTAAGAGGAACCCTATTCCAAATATTGCGGCCCCCAAACCCTGCTCGCTAAACCGCCCTACAAACCAAAACTCTAAAAACCCCCGCAAACCCCTAAGCCCATGAGTAGTAAAGGCCCCTATATCCAACCTGTACAATACCCCATATAGCAATCTCGGCAGACCTTCTTAACAGCCGTGTCAACGGAACCCGATTCTAGCAATTACCGCCCCTACTGGGAGGTTCACGGGTAGATATAAGTGGGTTGCAAGTAGGGTAACGATAATTAATGCCCAAATTAGGGGACTTATAAGACTTATAACTTGTAACCTCGCTTATAACCACCCATGAACCTCCAAGAAAGCCTTAAACCCTGCCCTAAACCATGAATGCTACCGATTAACCTCCACGTATATCAAATGCTAAACCCGGTATAGCCCTTAAAGGAGCACAAAAGGGGATCCCAAAACGGAACCTTTTAAAGGAAGGAGCCCAAAGCCCAAAAAGGAGCTCTCACACGAACCCTCAAAGGAACCCTTGAGGGTTGCCGGCAGTTCGCTGTCTCCTCAAAGCCTCCCGGCAAGCTGACGCGAGCGCACGGAAAAGTCCCACCCGGCAGCGAGAGGCTTCTTTGTGTAATAGGGTGTGTGAAGACCAAAGGTAATGATCTTAATACATAGAACAAGACGCGCGAAACTGTACGGCTGGGGGTTGGGGTTAGGGGGTTCCGAGTCGAAGGCTAAGGGTTTAAGGTTTTGGGTTTAGGGCTTCGGGTTTCAGGTTCGGATTTAAGGCTTAGGGTTTAGGCTTTTAAGGTTTAGGGCTTATCAAGTAGGGTTTAGGGTTTCGGGGTCAAGGTGTAGGGCTCAGGGTTGGAGGTTGAGAAGGTTCAGGATCGCACTTAAGGGCTTACTTGGAGGGTCGGGGGATTTAGTAACTGGTTTCTTTAGGGACTTATAAGTACCATAACCCCAATTAGGGTCCCTTTTAGGGTACTTATAAGTCTACTTACTACCTACTTACTAAGTCCCCCGACCCTCCAAGTAAGGTGACATGGAGGTTCATGGGTAGTGATAAGTTCCATAGTGTGGGTTTTATCTATTGTTATTGTTAGCCTACTTATAGCCCACTTGAAACTACCCATGAACCTCCAAGTACACCCTAAATCCCTAATTCTAAATCCCTATAGAACCGTAAAAGGAACCCTTTGAGGGACCCCTAAGAACCTCCGAGTAGGTGCATAACACTACTAAGACTGATAGTACAAACAAGACCAATGATACTACTGCTCGGGGGCCGGTAGGATTAAGGAGGGTTTAGGGTTCAAGGGCTTGAGGGTTTAGAGCTGCACATAATCATTCCCCGAAGCTCTAAGCCCCAAACCCGGCAATCTAATCTTAGACCGATCTTGTTGCTTTCCATGCTCCTGGCTTCTTGCATTGCAGGACTCGTTGAAGGTTTCTGGCTCTTATCCCTAATTCGCGAGCCCTGAACCGTAAACCCTGCGGGCAGGATTTCTGTTGATCACTTTCAACGTTCTTACATAGATCTTTTTCCCGTGCTGTCTCGAAGCTTGAATATCGAAGCCTGCGCCGAAGATCCCCTCAAAGCCCCAAGCCCGAACCCAGGAAAGCGCCAGCCCCCGAACCGAACAACCAGCCGAAGCCCAAAGCAGCCCAAAGCTAGAGACACCTGCTTCGCTGGCTTTTGGGGCTTCAGGGTGAACTAGGGTTCAGAGAACCCAAGGCTCTACATAGCTCGATACCCTAAACCCCTAAGCCCCTAAACCCCTATGCCTTTAAACCCCTAAACCCTAACCCTTAAACCCCTACACCCCTAAACCCCTAAACCCCAAAACCCCAAAACCCTGAACCCATCCTAAGGTCTTAAGGGCTTCCCACATCCCCACTCGACGCTCTTCCCAGCCTCGCTTTGCGGGAAAGCGCCTCGGCTCCGATGCCATGGGGTCTCGGGGGCAACTGCCGAGCTGAGGCTGGTTGCACGGACGGTGGCTTTAGGGTTCTGGGGGTTTAGGGGTTTGGGGGTTTAGGGTTTAGAGGTTGTAGGAGTTTAGGGGTTCAGTGCTTTTAGGGCTTAGGGGTTTAGGGTTTTAGGGGTTGAGGGGTGGAACGCAGGAAGAGTAGTACTTGACGGTGGCAATCGTGATGCTTAGGAGTACTGCTGCTGTAAAGATGTGTTGTGTAGCAACAACTGCGACAAGAACAACTACTATTTGAGGATATGGGGGGATTCAAGCCCCAAAACCCTAAACTCAAACCTCCGAGCCCAGCCCTAAACCCCAAACCCCACGCCGCTGCACTTAAACTATAAATCCTAAAGAACCTTTCAAGGAACAGGGAGGGTCGGGGGATTTAGTAACTGGTTTCTTTAGGGACTTATAAGTACCATAACCCCAATTAGGGTCCCTTTTAGGGTACTTGTAAGTCTACTTACTACCTACTTACTAAGTCCCCCGACCTTCCAAGTAAAGGAACCCTGAAAGGGACCCACTGCACCCTCTGCAAAGGTTCACGAAGCGCCGCTGGGTCCACTCAGCGTCGGACAAGCACAGGCCAGCGGGGTGTACCAGGGAAGGGCTGTTAATAGAGGGGCCTTATAGTAAACGGGGTGTAGGGTTTAGGGATTTAGGGGCCTTAACAAATACAAATACTATTTTGGGGGTTCCGTATTCTAGGGGTCCACGTTTTTTTTTCCCGAAAGCATCGCGAAGGGTTCTTCCGTGTGGAACGCCGCAGCTGAGTACATAGATGACAGACATAGAATCAACTTACTTGACTCCGTACTTTACTCTACACTTGATACTTGACTCTACACTTGATACTTACTTACTTGACCCCTATGACTGACTCTCTACACTTGACACTTGACTCTATGATACTTGACTCTACACTTGATACTTGACTCTATGTTATGCTTACGACTTACTTACTTACTTACTTCAATCTACTTACTAACTTACTTGACACTTGACACTGGACTCTATGTTATGCTATCTCTATACTTACTTATACTTACTTATACTTACTTACTTACTTACTTGACTTGCTTAGTTACTTACTTACTTACCTACTTACTTACTTACTTTTACTTACTTACTTACTTACTTACTTGACTCTATGCCTCTATGACTTACTCTCTACATCTCGGTATCTAATTCTCTCTTTTAAAGCCAGGGGGTGGCACCGTTGTCGTCCATCGGGAATGCAACCCTTCCCAGGGATTCGCCTCCTCGGGCGTTCAAACGCGAGGTAAAGTTACACATTTTAGGGTTCCCGCGCAACCCTTCCCAGGGATTCGCTGCCTCGGGCGTTCAAACGCGAGGTAAAGTTACACATTTTAGGCGCCCGGGTGAACCCTTCACAGGGATTGGCATGGGCGAGGGCCCAAACGCTAGGTAAAGTTACACATTTTTTAACTTATTAGGCGCCCGGGTGAACCCTTCACAGGGATTCGCTGCCTCGGGCGTTCAAACGCGAGGTAAAGTTACACATTTTAGGGTTCCCGCGCAACCCTTCCCAGGGATTCGCTGCCTCGGGCGTTCAAACGCGAGGTAAAGTTACACATTTTAGGCGCCCGGGTGAACCCTTCACAGGGATTGGCATGGGCGAGGGCCCAAACGCCAGGTAAAGTTACACATTTTTTAACTTATTAGGCGCCCGGGTGAACCCTTCACAGGGATTCGCTGCCTCGGGCGTTCAAACGCGAGGTAAAGTTACACATTTTGCGGGCGCCGCGCAACCCTTCACAGGGTTTGGGTGCAGTTCATTTTTTTTTGCAACCCTTCACAGGGATTGGCATTTTGCAACCCTTCACAGGGATTGGCGTGGTCGGGTGTTCGAACGCGAGGTAAAGTTGCATTTTTTGACGAGCATTGAGATGGATTATTTTATGTGCATTGAGTTGAGTTTTGCAACCCTTCACAGGGATTGGCGTGGTGGAGTGTTCGAACGCGAGGTAAAGTTGCAATTTTTGATGAGCATTGAGCTGAATTTTGCAACCCTTCACAGGGATTGGTGTGGTGGAGTGTTCGAACGCGAGGTAAAGTTGCAATTATTGATGAGCATTGAGATGAATTTTGCAACCCCTCACAGGGATTGCAAAATCGAGTGTTCGAACGCGAGGTAAAGTTGCAATTTTTGGATGAGCATTGAGATGAATTTTGCAACCCTTCACACAGATTGGCGTTGTCGAGTGTTCGAACGCGAGGTGAAGTTACACATTTTGCGGTGCCCGCGGAACCCTTCACAGGGATTGGCTTGGTCGAATCTTGACTCTGTGACTTTACGATCCTATACAGTGACTCTATCTCACTACGACTCTATGACGCTATCTCACTGCAACTCTATGACTTTATGACTCATGACTCATGGACTCTATGACTCTTGACTCTGTGACTTTACGATCCTATACACTGGATCTATCACATAGCCCCACAATCTTCGCTGATGATGCTTTCGGGCCAATTGTCTTCTAGTTTTTTCCTAGGTCTGGTCCGGTCTGGGGGACCTTGCTAGGTCTGGTCCCATGGTCCCTGGTCCCCTGGTCCTTTGGTCCTCTGGTCCCCTGGTCCCTGGTTCCCTGGTCCCCTGGTCTCTCCTGGTCCTGTCACATTGTAGGGGGACGCAATGTGCTGCAGGCACTCGGCTTGCAAGACACAAAAAGAGCCAGTCCCAACTGCGCTGCGGTTCTCCTGCTTCTGACAGCCCTTCGGGGCGACGTGCACCCTTCAGGCCGCAGTATCCATGTCTGTCTGTCCGTCTGTCTGTCTGTGACAAACAACAAACAACTAACAACAAACAACTACATATCTAACACAACAAGCAACAAACAACTAACAAGAAACAAGAAAGAACAAACAACAAACAAGAAACAACAAACAAGAAACAAGGAGCAATAAGCAGGAAACAACTAACAGTTAACAAGAAACAACTAACAACTCACAAATAACAACCAACAACTGACAACTAACAGCTAACACCAACAACCAACAACTAGCAACGAACAACTAACACCTAACAACTAGCAACTAGCAACTAACAACTAACACAACTAGCAACTAACACAACTAGCAACAAGCAACAAGCAACACACAACAAACAACCACCACCACCACCACCAACAACAATAACAACAACAAGAACAACAACAACAACAACAGCAACAACAACAAGACCAACAGCAAGAACAACAACAATCCGACGACAACAACGACAACAACGACAACAACAACAATAACAACAACAGCAGCAACAACAAGAAGAATAATAAGAAGAACAACAATGGCAACAACAACAACAGCAGCAACAACAACAATGGCAACAACAACAGCAACACGTCTGTCTGACAACAAGAACAACAACAACAGCAACAGCCACAACCACAACCACCACGACAACCACAACAACAACAGCAACAACAAGAACACCAGCAACAGCAACAAGAACAACTACCACGACGGCAACGACGAGGACGAGGACGAGGATGACGAGGATGTCGACAACGACACCAAAAAACAACGACACAAGACAGAAGATTTGAAATTGTAATCAGGCAATATTCACACGCGAAACACGACCCTGCAAATTGTAGTGCTCCAATAGCTTCATGCAAGACACAAGCAAAACCAGACCCTGCGAATGCTAGTTCCCCATTAGCTTGATGGAAAACACAAACAATAACAGACTCTGCAAATTGTAGTTCCCCAATAGCTTGATGCAAAACACAAACAAAGCCGACCCCGCAAATTGTAGTTCCCCATTAGCTTGATGCAAAACACAAGCAGAAGAACACACCGCAAATTGTAGTTCCCCAATAGCTTCATGCAAAACACAAGCAGAAGAACACACCGCAAATTGTAGTTCCCTAATAGCTTGAAGCAGAACACAAGCAGAAGAAGACCCTGCGAATTGTAGTTCCCCAATAGCTTGATGCAAAACACAAGCAACATCGATCCCTGCAAATGCGAACTCCCCAATAGCTTCATGCAAAACACAAAGAAAACCGAACCCTGCAACTTGTGGTTCCCCAACAGCTTGATGCTAAACACAAGCAAAATCAGACTCCGCAAGTTGTAGTTCCCCAATAGCTTCATGCAAAACAAAAGCAAAACCAGAGCCGTCAAATTCTAGTTCCCCAATAGCTTGATGCAAAATAGAAGCAAAGACTGCAGTTGCCGCTGTTTGCAACCACAACCAGTGGACCAGACTTAGGAAAGCAAGCCGGGGCGGACCAGACCTAGGAAAAAAAAAACCGTTCCGCTTATAGTTATAGTCAAGGTTTACACCAAAACCGTACTCTAATCATGAAGGCCCCTACATTAGCGCTATTGGGGTTTTAGGACTTACGGTCTACGATGATGCGGTTGAGGTTTCGGTTACAGGTTTAGGACTTAAGGTCTAGAGGGTAGGGTTCCTTTCAAGATTCCTTTCAGCTTACGGGTTCCTGTAATTAAGGCGAATACATGGCTTTCAGGTGTCGTATAGCGCATAGAGTCCGTTGGGGTTCAGGGTTTAATGCTTAGGGTACAGGGTTGTAGGCGGTTTAAGGTATAGGCGGTATAGGGTTTAGTGATAAGGATATAGGGTGTGCGGTTTAGGGTTTCGGTTTTTCCGAACACGAGCATTGCGTACAGCTTCTTGGAATTCGGCTTTCCGTTTGTGCGCGAAAGCGAATTGTTTGGGTTTTATGGTTTACATCTCATGTAAGAGATGGTGGGAAGGGTTATCATAGGGGCAGTAGGAATTCCAATGGCAGCAGCAATATGGACAACGATAATCCTGGACATCGCCATTATCGTGAGTGCCAGCAGCAGCAACTGCGATAGCAATAGCAAATGGTTATAAGAACCCTAAACCCGGCACCCTAAACCCTGGCAATAACAGGTGGAATTTGTAATGGCAGTTGGGGCTTAGGATTCAGGGTTCAGAGTTTACGGGTCCGAGGACTTGGTATTGAGGTGTAGAGTTTAAGGAAAGCGGGAAAGCCTGTCTAAGTCTCTGATCTTTATGACAAATGCCGTTCCCCATGTCAGTACGCCGGAGATCGGGGCGCTTGGAGGGTCGGGGGACTTAGTAAGAAGGTAGTAAGTAGACTTATAAATATCCTAACAGGGACCCTAATTGGGGTTATGGTGCTTATAAGTTCCTAAAAGAACCAGTTACTAAGTCCCCCGACCCTCCAAGCGGAACAAGTGCAACGATCCGGATCCCGACAAAGAGGGTCCGGGCAAGAGCCCTTTGTTCTGGAGCTTGGCGGGGTTTGGGGTTTAGGGGTTTAGGGGTTTAGAGGTTTAGGGGTTTAGGGTTTGGGGTTTAGGGGTTTAGGGGTTTGCGGTTTAGGGTTTAGGGTTTAGGGGTTTAGGGTTTAGGGCTTAGGGGATGCTGACGGCCTAGGAGGTTGGGAGCAAAGATCCCGATCAACATGGCGTGGAGACCAAATAGGGGGACCCTAATATAGGACCCTAAATACTAGGATCCTTATTACAAGGACGCCCAAATAAGGTACCCCTAATTGTCGGAACCTCCCACACGATGCCGGCAGCGGCAAAACGACTCCTGAGATCAGGGACTGCACATGATATAGGAGTTCATTTGCACTCCTGCATGCACCGATGCATAGGAGTCCGCGCGCCTACCATGCGTGGCTACCATACAAACAGTACCCACCCAACGCCGAAGCCCAACGCATCTCAAAGCCAGAAGCCCGAAACCCAAGGCCTGCAACCCTAAACCCTAAACCCTAAAACCTAAATCTCGAGGTTCCCAAGTCGCCTCAGTTTGTTTGTGTTTGCTTTAGGCTTATATACTTTTCGCACTAGCTCTTAAATCCCTAAACCCCTGAATCCCCTAAACCTAGACCCTCAGTAACTTATGACCCTCTTCACCAAACCGCTGTTTTGGGCTTACTTTTTTTTATAACCCTGGGATCCCTACTTGGAGGTTCATGGGTAGTTATTAGCGGGGTTATAAGTAGGGTAACTATAGTGACAACCCGTATTCGGGGACTTATAACCCCACTTATAACTACCCATGAACCTCCAAGTAGGCCCTACACCCTATCTCCTCATAGAATCCCTATAGATCCCTTTAAAGGGACCCTTATAACTACCCATGAACCTCCAAGTAACGGCCGCAGGTTAATGCATCTCTACCGGATTGGCGATGCTTGGGCCAAACACAGGCCGCCTGCTTTTGGAAGGGCAGGTATAAGTATTACTGTTGATGATAGAAATCCTGCATTACCTTAAGGACCCTAAACTATGGGAACTATGGTATATTCCTTGTTATAGGTAATGCAGGATTTGTATCATCAACCGTAGTATCAGGTTTTAAGTAGGGTTTAAGTACTAGGGTGCTGGATTAGCATGAGCTTTAGCATTGGTATTGGTATTCGTTTTCGTATTAGTATTAGTATGAGAATTAGTATCAGTATTAGTATCAAGTAGCCAAGCCATGCAGGCTTTATTGGGGCTGGCCTTCCAGCTGTGAACCACAAATCCTAAATCCGTAAATTCCCTGACCCAAAGCCGGAACTGCTGGGGTCTAGAAGTTGCGGCTTAGGGCTTAGGGTTCATTTTTTTGGGTTTATGGTTTAGGGTTTAGTTAGTTATTTTTTTTTCGGGTTTATGGTTTAGGGTTTAGAGTATTTTTCGGGTTTATGTTTCAGGGTTTGGGCTTAAAGTTAAAGGGTCTTGCTGGGCAGCTCGCTACTCAAACCCGTGCGAACTACGCCGGAGCAATTTACGGAGCTCGCTCGAAACCCCTGAGCAAAAGGGGATATCAGCTATCTAGCAAGCTTCGCATCCCTTCACCCCTGACCTGAGAAGGGTTTCCAGGTCATACAGCAGACTCCGAACTCTCAACCACTCCAGTCGCACAAGTTCCACAAAAATCCGCAATATTCAAATCTCAGCCCTTAAACCCTTCATCCTACCCGAAATCCTTAAAGCCAAAGGGCCCTTCCTGCCAAAGCCCTCGGAGGGAAAGCCAACACCCGAAGCCTGAACGCCCCAAAGCCCTAAACCCTCAGCGCCCGTCATCCTAAACCACCAGAACCCTAAAACCCTGAAGCCCCAAACCCGAAACCCTAAACCTCAAACCCCCCAACCCGTTCCCTGAAACCCTACACCGCCCACCTCCCCCCCTTGACCCTAAACTCTAAACCCTGAACCCTAAACTAAACCCTACAACCCTAAACCCTTTACCCTAAACCCTACACCCTCTACCCTACACCCTAACCCGAAACCCTACGCCCTAAGCCCTCTACCATACACCCTAGCCCGAAACCCTACACCCTACACCCATGCCCTAGCCCGAAACCCTACGCCCTAACACCCAGAGCAGGCCCGAGCCACGCCACGCACCTCTCTGCTGGAGGAGCCGGGTTTCACCCACAGCTCGGACCTCAGAGTTTCTTGGGGTTGAGTATTATAGGGGCCTTAATAATTAGAGTAGGGTTCCCTTAAAAGCTCAAGGTCATGCTAATCCAGCACCCTAGTACTTAAACCCTACTTAAAACCTGATACTACGGTTGATGATACAAATCCTGCATTACCTATAACAAGGAATATACCATAATTCCCATAGTTTAGGGTCCTTAAGCTCATGCAGGATTTATATCATCAACAGTATAGGGGCCTTTAGAATATGGTTTCATAGGGTTCCTTTAAGGGTTTCTGTAAGGGCTACTATAGGGATTCTCTATTAGGGGCCATAATAAGGGATCCTTGAAAGGGTTTTAGAAGGGTTGAGTAGTGGAAAAGGGGTCCTTAAAGGGACTCTATAAGTCCAAGGGGCCTAAATAATTAGAATAGGGTTCCCTTAAAGGCTTAAAGGGTTCCTTTAAGGGATACCATAAAGAATCTATTCGAGCACTATAATAATATAGGGACCTTAGTAATTCGAATAGGGTTTTAGGGCCCATTATACTATAGTAACCCCAAAAGAGCATAGGTAGCTATTTGGGCCCCTGGATTACCTGTAAGGGTTCCTTTCTGGCTTCCGTTGAGCGTTCCTTTTTTGGCTTCCTTTAGGGATTCCTTTGAGGCTTTCTTCAAGGGATCCGTGAAGGCTTCCATTAAGGGTTCCTTTAAGGCTTCCGTTCATTGATCCTTTAATTAAGGGGGTTTAGGGTTTAGGGGTTCCTTGAAGGGGCTTGTTTAGGGGTCTCTTTCAGGATTTCGTGAAGACGTCAGAGTCTCTTGAAGTTTCGGAGTTTATGGGTTTCAAACAAGGGGGTTTAGATGCTTACGGGGTTTTTTGTAGCGTTAAAAGCTTAAAAAGTTTTCATAGGGTTCGTTTCAATGGATCCCCAAAACAGAACCTATAGTACTCTTTAAAGGGGACAGCCCTGAAAGGAACTCTTAAGGGTTCCTTGAAGGCTGCTGCAGGCTTTCAGGGTAAGTATAGAGTGTAGAGTGTGGAGTCTTTCGGGTGTAGGGTTTAGGGTATAGTACAGGGTAGGCTTTAGGGTTTAGGGTTTAGGGTTAGGGCACAGGGTTTAGGGTTTACGGCTTTTCGTTGTCTGTTGGGTTTCGCGTTTGGTGCTTTTTGAGGTCTTTTTTTTGAACGGTCTATGGTGGTTCTAGTTGCACTACCCCTTGCCACTCCGTCGTTTGCTTCTATCATGCAATATTTCGTTTTCCACAAAGACCCGTTTTCATGTTGCAGGTCCTTAGACGGGTTCGAGTCTAGAACCAACTTCAGGCTCCGCGGACGAAGCCACCGAACAAAAAACGCAGAACCGGGGTTTAGGGAGTATAGGCAACTTATTGCGTATTGCGTGTAGGGTTTAGAGTTTCGGGGATTAGGGGTTCAGGGTTTAATCCGGAATCCGAGAAAAAACCCGAAACAATAAATTACAATCCCGAGAACAGAGAGAAGGAGAGAGAAAGAGAGAGAGGCGGAGACAGACAAAGCACACCAATGCGACAGTTCGCAGACCTTCTCAAAAACAAGCGAGCCGCGAACCCTAAATTTTGAAGCCCTGAGCCCTAAGCCTAAAACCGAAACCCGAAATTCTGAACACAAAAGCCCTGAGCCTAAAGCCCTAAACGCGAAATTCTAAACACTAGGCTCTAAGGTCTGAGCTCTAAAGCCCAAAGCTCCACCGCCCAAAGCTCCAAAGCCCAAAGCTCTAAACGGTTTAGGGAGTAGGGTGTAGAGTGTAGGGTAAAGGGTTCAGGGTTTAGAGTTTAGGGTTTAGGGTTAGGGGTTTAGGGTTTAGAGTTTAGGGTTTTAGGATGTAGGGCTTTAGGGTTTTGAGGGTTTAGGGTTTTAGGGTTTACGTAGGGTTTAAAGCCCAAACGCCCGAAACCCCCAAAGGCCCTAAACCTCCGAGGATCCCCGGGGACAACCATGAGACAGCCGGCCATCTGGTGCCTGGCCGTTTCTTTTGATAGAAGCAGTGGGGTTCTGTAAGGGTTTAAAGGGAACTCCAGAAAGTTGGAATATGGTTTCAGGGTAGGATACCTTATAATCTACCATAAAGGGTTTAGGATAATCATATTCCAACTTTCTGGCTTTTACTTTAGGGTTCAGGCTTGAGGGTTTTCTTTGGGGTGAATAGAAATGGGCGTTCTGCAAGGGTTTAGGGTTCACGGTTTAGGGGTTTAGGGTTGTATGGTTCGGGGTTTAGGCATGTATAAAAGGGGCCTAAACAATGAACCGTACTATTTTGGGAGTTCCTTATTATAACTATAGTATAATGTACCCCAAGACCCAATTCTATTTATTAAGGCCACCATATTAGGGGGTTTAGGGTATGTTCAATAATTACCTATACCATTTTGGGGGTTCGTTATTCAATTCCAACTATAGTAGTATAACTGTCCCCCAAACCCTCGGGTTTAGGGTTTAGGGTTTAGGGTTTTAGCGGGGCCTAGTGGTTGGGGTTTGGGGCTTTGGCGGTTTGTTGAGAGTCAGAGGATTCGGTCCGCAGGCTACAGTCTTTCAGCTGCAGGGTTGCAGGGTTTAGGGTCCAGGGTTTAGGGTCTAGGGTCTGCGGTTGCAGGGTTTAGGGTTTAGGGTTTAGGGTTTGCGGTTGCAGGGTTTAGGGTTTAGGGTTTAGGGTCTAGGGTTTAGGGCTGGCTCTCGCTTTCTTTCCTTGTGTCTGTGTCTCTTTGTCTCTCTCTCTCTCTCTCTGTCCCTCTCTCGCTCTCTCTTTTTCAAAACTTTGCAGGAAGGTTTTCGGAATTTGAATATAGGGTTTTGGCCGTCGGCTTTGGATTTCGGCTTTGGGGTGTTTCCGTGGCAGGTTTCGAGAGCTCTGAGTGTCTGAGACGGTCGGTGAGACATGCAGCAGCAAGCACCTCTGCTGAAAAACGCTTCGCCAACGCTTCGGGAACAACTAAATTCTGAACGCGACACCCGCTTCCAAGAGACCAAACCCTAAATCCTAAACCCTTAACCCTAACCCCTCAACCCTAAACCCCAACCCCTAAACCCTCAACCCTAAACCCCAACCCCTAAACCCTAAACCCTCAACCCTAAACCCTAAACCCGCTATCATAGATTAAAAAAACCTAAACCCTAAACCCTAAGCCCTAAACCCATTTTGCAAACTTGTTTGAGGCTGTTGGCCACGCGAAGCCCTTGAAGTGTTCGTCGTCGTCGTGGCAATACTTGGAGGTTCATGGGTAGTTATAAGCAGGGTTATAAGTCCCCGAATATGGGTCTGTAATATGGGTTATAGTTAAAGTTACCCTACTTATAACTACCCATGGACCTCCAAGTAGTACTTGGAGAAGGAGGCTAACATTGCGGGTATAAGCCCCGGTGCATCTAAATGTGCGCAGTTTTCCGAAACATAAACCCTTAGCCCCCTCATACGTGCATTTGTGTGAGGTCCCCCTAAGGCCGAAATCCAGCTCCTCAAACCCTTAACCCCAAAATGCTAACCCCTGAACCCTAAACCCTAAAACCTGCAAAAGCCTTGAGCTCCAAACCCCAAAACCTGACCCCTCAACCCCGAACCCTAAGGTCCGATTTCCTCGAGCGTCCCATTGGTCCGCGGCGGAGCCGGCTGCCCACTGCGCTGGAGCAGGGTTGGATCGTTCCTGGGTGTTGACAGAACAGCCGGTGACAGTAAAGGTGTTAAGGGCGTAGGAATTTAGGATTTTGGGGACGGTAGCAAGCATAGCCATAGCAGTAGCGGCAGGAGGAAGAGGAGTAGTTAAAATCCATAAGCCAGAAACCCTAAACTTTAAAAAAACCCAAACTCCAAACCCTATATATTATAAGCCCCTAAACGCTAAACCCTAAAGCCCCAAAGAATACACTCCAAGCCAAGAACTTCCAAATAAACTTCCCAAGTGTCCTCCGAAGCCCGCCCACTTGGAGGGTCGGGGACTTAGTAACTGGTTATTCTAGGGACTTATAAGTACCATAAGCCCAATTAGGGTCCCTTTGCAGTTACTTATAAGTCTACTTACTACCTACTCACTAGGTCCCTAAACCCTAAACCCTATAGTACCCTTATAGAGCCCTTTAAAGGAACCCTTGGAATCCCCTTTAAAGGAGCCCCTACTTACTAAGTCCCCCGACCCGAAGCCCGCCCAGGAATGGGCGAAGTCCAACCCTTTGATGCTTCTGGGTCTCGTGACCCCGGTCTTTTCAATCGTCGGGGCGGCCCTTACTGGACCGCTTGGGCGCATGGGGGCCCTTTGAGGCTTTAGGCTTCTTTAAAGGGCTCTTAAGGGTATAGGGGTTTGGGGTTCAGAGGTTACGGTTTGAGGTTTAGGGTTTAGGCTTCATGATTAGGTGCATGGGGGCCCTTTGATCATAGGAGGCCAAAAGGGGTTTTAGCCTATGGGGGTAGTAGGGATTAGGGTTCCCATAATAGGTTTAATATTAAGGAATCCCCACCCCAAGAATCTTAAACCACCCTTTTGGCCTCCCATCATTTGCGGCTCTAGGCTTCAGGATTAGGCTTCAGGGTGTAGGGTTTAGGGTCGAGGGGTTTACCGGTTTAGGGTTTATTTCAGGGGTAATATAGGGGCCTAAATAAATACCTAAACTAGTTTGGGGGTTCCTTATTATAAGTATAGTATACTGGGCCCCAAACCATATTCTAATTATTAAGGCCCCTTTATCACGGTGTGGGGTTCGCTATTTCAACCCTAAACCCTAAACCCTCCAGGGTTCTAGCGGTTCACGAGATTGGGCTTTAGATGTAATGGGTAACAGCCGAGAGTCGTCGGAGTTTCGGATTTCCCGAAAGCATCGCGAAGGGTTCTTCCGTGTGGAACGCCGCAGCTGAGTACATAGATGACAGACATAGAATCAACTTACTTGACTCCATACTTTACTTCACTCTACACTTGATACTTGACTCTACACTTGATACTTACTTACTTACTTGACCTCTATGACTGACTCTCTACACTTGACACTTGACTCTATGATACTTGACTCTACACTTGATACTTGACTCTATGTTATGCTTACGACTTACTTACTTACTTACTTCACTCTACTTACTTACTTCACTCTACTTACTTACTTACTTGACACTTGACACTGGACTCTATACTTACTTATACTTACTTACTTACTTACTTACTTACTTGACTCTATGCCTCTATGACTTACTCTCTACATCTCGGTATCTAATTCTCTCTTCTAAAGCCAGGGGTGGCACCGTTGTCGTCCATCGGGAATGCAACCCTTCCCAGGGATTCGCCTCCTCGGGCGTTCAAACGCGAGGTAAAGTTACACATTTTAGGGTTCCCGCGCAACCCTTCCCAGGGATTCGCTGCCTCGGGCGTTCAAACGCTAGGTAAAGTTACACATTTTAGGCGCCCGGGTGAACCCTTCACAGGGATTCGCCTCCTCGGGCGTTCAAACGCGAGGTAAAGTTACACATTTTAGGCGCCCGGCGCAACCCTTCACAGGGATTGGAACTCTCGGGCGTTCAAACGCGAGGTAAAGTTACACATTTTAGGCGCCCGGGTGAACCCTTCACAGGGATTCGCCTCCTCGGGCGTTCAAACGCGAGGTAAAGTTACACATTTTGCGGTGCCCGCGCAACCCTTCACAGGGATTCGCCTCTCGGGCGTTCAAACGCGAGGTAAAGTTACACTTTTAGGGCGCCGCGAACCCTTCACAGGGATTCGCCTCCTCGGCGTTCAAACGCGAGGTAAAGTTACACTTTTGCGGGCGCCGCGAACCCTTCACAGGGATTCGCTCCTCGGGTGTTCAAACGCGAAGTAAAGTTACACATTTTGCGGGCGCCGCGCAACCCTTCACAGGGTTTGGGCGCAGCTCAACTGCATTTTGCAACCCTTCACAGGGATTGGCATTTTGCAACCCTTCACAGGGATTGGCATGGTCGAATGCACGAACGCTAGGTAAAGTTGCATTTTTTGATGTGCATTGAAATGAATTTTGCAACCCTTCACAGGGATTGGCGTGGTCGAGTGCTCGAACGCGAGGTAAAGTTGCAATTTTTTATGTGCATTGAGATGAATTTTGCAACCCTTCACAGGGATTGGCGTGGTCGAGTGTTCGAACGCGAGGCAAAGTTGCAATTTTTGATGTGCATTGAGATGAATTTTGCAACCCTTCTCCATGACTCGTGACTTGATCTCACTATGACTCTATGACGCTATCTCACTGTAACTCTATGACTTTATGACTCATGACTCATGGACTCTATGACTCTTGACTGTATGTGCCTCTCGAGGTCCAGGTCAGGCTATGAGCCCTCACGCTATGGGGATCTCGATTAAACGTTCCCACACATAGAGCATAGAGTGAACTACATCGAGTCAAGTGCATGGTACATAGATGACTCCATGACTCTGCGACTTGATCTCACTATGACTCTATGACGCAATCTCACTGTAACTCTATGACTTTATGACTCATGACTCATGGACTCCATGACTCTTGACTGTATCTGCATCTCGAGGTCCAGGTCGGGCTATGAGCCACCACGCTACGGGGATCTCGATTAAGCGTTCCCACACATAGAGCATAGAGTGAACTACATCGAGTCAAGTGCATGCTACATAGATGACTCCATGACTCGTGACTTGATCTCACTATGACTCTATGACGCTATCTCACTGTAACTCTATGACTTTATGACTCATGACTCATGGACTCCATGACTCTTGACTGTATCTGCATCTCGAGGTCCCGGTCGGGCTATGAGCCACCACGCTATGGGGATCTCGATTAAGCGTTCCCACACATAGAGCATAGAGTGAACTACATCGAGTCAAGTGCATGGTACATAGATGACTCCATGACTCTGCGACTTGATCTCACTATGACTCTATGACGCTATCTCACTGTAACTCTATGACTTTATGACTCATGACTCATGGACTCCATGACTCTTGACTGTATCTGCATACGATCCTACACACTGGATCTATCACATAGCCCCACACTCTTCGCTGATGATGCTTTCGGGCCAATTGTCTTCTAGTTTTGTTAAGGCTCCTGACCCGTTCAGGTGTCGAAAGTCCAGAGGTGTAGGGGTTTTAGGGTTTTAGGGTTTAGGGTTTACGGTTTTAGGGTTTTAGGATTTAGGGCTTTAGGGTTTCAGGGTTTAGGGTTCAGGGTTTTAGGGTTTAGGGTTTTAGGGTTCAGGGTTTAGGGTTTTAGGGTTTAGGGTTTGGGGTTCGTCCGTCTGTCCATCCACGCATCTGCGCCAACTTCTAAACCCCGAATCCCCTGTTGACGCGTGTCATTTCTCATCCTTGCATGCTTGTTGCACCTAAACCCTAAATCCTAAACCCCTTAAACCCCTTAAACCCCAAACCCTAAACCCTAAACCCCAAAACCCTAAACCCTAAAACCCGAAACCCGAAAGCCCTAAACCCTAAAACCCAAAACCCTAGAACCCTCAAGCCCTAAAGCCCTAAACCAGAGCTTTGGGTTTAGGCTTTAGGGCTTACGAGGGACTTAGTAAGTCGGTAGTAAGTAGGCTTATAAGTACCCTAAAAGGGACCCTAATTGGGGTTATGGTACCTATAAGTCTCTAAAATAACCAGTTACTATGTCCCCCAACCCTCCAAGTAGATGTCCTCCTCGGTGCCTTTCAATGCGCCATGATCGAAAAGGCACCTGCGAGCTCAAATGAGGGCTCTCTGATCACCCTAAACCCTTAACCCTGAAGCCCTAAACCTAGAGCTTGGGGTTTAGGCCTTAGGGCCTAGCCGCAGGAGTGGCTGGGATGTTCGCGGCCAGCGCTGTGACTTCCGAGGCAGCCCCCGCTGAGGAGGCTCTGAGTTTTCCCTTTAGGGCACGTCTATACCTGTAGCCGAAAGGACCTACCAATTTACGGTTAGTTTTTATGGTTCCTATGTATAGTTCCTTACAAAGGTAGGTCTTTTGGGTCACAGGTCAGTCGAGCTTGTCACTGTGAGTGCAGGGTTGCAGTAGGACTCGCCGCTGGGATTCAGACCTGAGGGTAGCAGGGCTTGGGGTTCATTGGGTTCAGGGTTTAGGGTTCATTGGGGTTTAATATACGAGCCTGAGTATTTGCCAATGCCCTTCTTGAGGATCCCTTGTTGTCAGTACACTGGAATATATCCTAAAAGCTGTATTCTAATCATGAATGCCCCCCTCATATTGCTTGGAGGGTCGGGGGACTTAGTAACTGGTTATTTTAGGGACTTTGAGTACCATAATTAGGGTTCCTTTTAGGGTACTTATAAGTCCACTTACTACCTACTTACAAAGTCCCCTAAAGACCCTCCAAGCAATGAAATCCCTATTAGATGCCTTAAAGGAACCTCTTATAGAAACCCCTATAGATCCCTTAAAGGAACCCCAAGTACTTTAAACCCTAAACCCTAAACCCTATACCCTTATAGAATCCTTATAGATCCCTTTAAAGGAGCCCCCTATAGTTACTAACTCATACTACGTTGTAGGGTTCACGGTTCAGGCGGCTGGCGATGACGGCGGAGACATGTTCGGAGACTGGGGCGGCGACGATGACGGCGGAGACTTGGGCGATGATGCAGGGTTCAGGATTTGGATTTGGGGTTTAGGATAATTTCGACGGGATCGGGCTGCCCAGGACCCAAGGCTAAGTTTAGGATTTCGGGTTTTAGGGGTTTAGAGGCTAGGGGTTTAGGTGTTTAGCTCTTTTGAGGTTTAGGGGCTTTGGGATTCGGGCAGGTTCAGGGCGCCTTATCGTTCAGGTTTAAGGGATTTTTTGGGGTTGAGGGTTCAGAGTTCTAAACTCCGGTGAAAATCTTGGGCGAAGGTTTTGGGTGAGGAGACATCAATCTGCACCCGTCAGGACAAACCTGCCGAAAGGTATGTCCAAATCTACCATAAACCCGCTGAGGCGGAGTGCTGGGCTACTAATTTTCCTGCACCTTAAACCCCACACCCTCATATCCTACCCGTAGCCGAAAAGATCTACCTTTTTTGGGTTCCTTATTTTGGTTTCATTCCTTCTCTCTCTCTATACATATATACACATATGTATGTATGTATGTATGTATGTATGTATGTATATATATATAGTCCTGTATAAAGGTAAATCCTTTCGGCTACAGGTACTCCGTAAACCGTTCGATAGCTTAAATTCAGACTTAAAGCCCGCTCCTGACATTCCTGCTCACCCAGAGACTCCAAAAAACCCTCAGTCAAGGAATATATCTTAATTTATATTGTTAGGGTTCGTATTATAACTTAAGGTATATTCCTTCATTAAGGGGTTTTGGAGTCCCCCGGCACTTGGAAATACACGACTCCCTGTAAACCGCTGAACCGTAAACCCTGACTTTCTCTCTCCACATCGTAAGCCCCAAGACCCTAGACCCAAAACCCCTAAACCCCAAATCCTAACTGTCTAAACCACAAGCCCTAAACCCCTAGGAGGCATGTTCGACTTCGGCGATTGGGGTGGCGACGACGACTAGCTGGTGACAAAAAGTCGCGGCGGTCACGAGCTGGCGGGGAGTTTTGAGGGTTCCAGGTTTTACCTGAAGCTCCATGGTTAGCTATAAGTCAGTCGGGCTATAAGGTTCATGGTTAGGGTTATAAGTCCCCGAATATGGGCTATAAGCACATTTACCCTGCTTATAACCCCTCGTGAAACTAATCATGAACCTCCAATTAGGGTTTAGGGGTTTAGGGGTTCCTAAACCCTAAACCCTAAATCCCTAAACCTTATAGATCCCAGAAAGGATCCCTTGAAGGAGCCTTTATAAGTTAGGGCTTCAGAGTTTAGGGTTTAGGGTCCAGGGTGGTGTAAGGATGTTGGAAGGAGTCTTGAAGGTCTTCTGAGGGCTTAGGTCTTTGGGTGTTAAGATCTAAGGCTCAGCGTAGGCATGGAGTTCAATGTCTAGGTGGGATCTGAAGTTTTGCGAAAGATTTGGGTTCAGGCTTTGGGGTTTTAGGTTTCAGGGGTTTAGGGGTTTGGGGTTTAGGGTTTAGGGGTTTAGGGTTTGGGGTAAGCCCTGCCAGAGGTCCTGGCCTTTCTCCCCCGAACGCTGGGAAAAGATACCCAGAGACTCGAATACCCCTTCATCAAGGAATGTCTAGGGTTCCTTTAAAGGGATCCTACAGTAAAAGGTTCCTTTAAGGGATCTACAAGGGATCTGTAGGGTTTAGGGTTTGGGGTTTGGACTCCCATACCCCGTAAATAACAATAGGAACCCTAATATGATATAAGGTATATTCCCAGTAGCTGAGTGGATACACTTTACACTTTTTTGGGGTAATATAACCTACTATAAAACTGAAAGTGTACACTTTTTGGGGCTTCTGAACTCAGCAACTAAGCCTTAACCGTTGCCCCTAAACCCTAAATGCTACACCCAAAGCAACTAAGGGTATAGTAGCCCTTTTAGTAACACCCTTTAGACCCTTTATAAGAACCCTTTAAAGGAACCCTAAGGACCCCAAACCTTAGCATTGTGGGGTATTGGAGTCTCTTGGAAGTTGGAGCGATTCAGCTACTTGAGAGCCGAGTCCTCGAAGCCTTAGTGAGTTGCTTGATATAGGGCCCTCAATACTCTTTTGGGTTCCCCTAAAGGGTCTACAAGGGCTATTACAAAGCTTGTTATAGGGATTTAGTATAGGGGTTTTAATAATTTAAACGCTTCGCGTCGTCCGCCTCGGCCCGGCCGTGACGGAAGCAAGCGCACTGTGAAGGCGTCCTTGAAGGACCCTCAAACCCAAAAACTTAGTTTTCTCGGCTCTTCGGGTTGGTTGAGGTATGCAGACTGAGTACCTTCATCCCGTAACGACTTGCTCCTAAGACGCTCAACTCAAAGCCTCATCTCTCAAGCCCAAACCCGCATTCTTCGCTGCATGTTCCTCAACGGCGGCATCGATGAATTGCTCGGTCCGGGCCAAATTGCAGAACCTGTAAGTGTTGTAACCGACAGCTTGCAAGCTTCAGTTTCTGAGCCTTGTACAAGTCGTAGCAGCAGCGGATGGAGCTTGCGCTGGCACGGGAACGACCGCTGCCTGTTTGGGATGCGGAACATGCTTTTTGTGCAGAGGTGTTGGGAGGAAAATGCCAGACCTTGGCTCCCCAAAAGGTTTCCATTTTTTCAGGGGGTACCCCGCCCCCCACTCCGAGGGAGGGGATCAGAGGTGGGGAATAGAGGGAATCTGCATAGGAACCTCTGACCGCTTCGGCCCGGGCCGAGGCGAATTGCCAAAACTATTTTGGGGGTTCCTTACTATAACTATCTTCTCAATTACGTCGTCCCTTTCAAGGGCTCTATAGAGATTCTATAAGGGTGTGGGGTTTTGGGCCTGCTTGGAGGTTCATGGGTACTTATAAGTGCGGCTGTAAGTCCCCGAGTATGGGTTCTAAATACAGTTACCCTACTTAAAGCTACCCATGCACCTCCAAGTACAGGGTCTAGGGTTTCGGGTTTAGACTTTGCGGTGGAGGGATAAAGGGCTTAGGGTTGAGGGTTCAGGGTTTAGGATCTCGGGAACGGGTTTCAGGCGTCCACTTGGAAATTATCAGTGGGGTTATACAGGGTAACTATAATTGTAACCCTTCTTAAAGGGGACTTAGAACGCCCTAAACCCTAAAGCCCTAAACCCTAAGGCCCTAAACCCCTAAACTCCTAAATCCCTAAGCCCCTAAACCCTGAACCCGAGACGCCTGAACCCCTAAACCCTAGGCCCCGAAACCCTTATTACTACCTATGAACCTTCTAGTAGGGCCATGCACGGCTCATTGATGCAGAGTTCAAGCGGGAATTCCCGAAAATAGGGGACCCTAATATAGTAGTCTGAATAGTAGGATCCTTTTTACAAGGCTAGTTTTCGGAAACCCTAAACCCTCACAGAGCCTTATAGATCCCTTTAACGAGCCCTTAAAGGATCCCTTTCAAGGTGCCCCTAATTTTCGGAAACTGCACTGCACCTGCCACCGATCTCCTTCTCCAGCATGCTGTTAGGATGTCGGATCCCCCAGGGCTTAAGCTTCAGGGCCTAGGGTTTAAGGTGTTTAGGCTTTGGAGCTCAGGTAAACTCAGGGTTTGAACAGTTTGCTTTCATGGCGTTTGCACAGCCAGTCACAGTTTATTCTACCATCCTCGCATCAGAGTTTCTAGTTTCCGATCTCACACCCTGGAGCCTGGAGTGCCGGCCAAAGAGTCGTTCGGCCATTCCCGCTCGGGCTTCCTGTCAATGGGCATGAAGCGGAGCCATGACGTCTCTATGGAGGCTGGGCCACGGGGTTTAGGGGTTTAGGGGTTTAGGGGTTTAGGGTTTAGGGGTTTAGGGTTTAGGGTTTAGGGTTTAGGATTTAGGGTTTAGGGTTTAGGGTGTGGGGTATGGAGGCTTACGGAAGACACCTTAGACCGTATCTAGGGCTTCTTGAGATAGATTTCTCATTTATGGACCTGGGAGCTTTGTCAGAGTTTCGGGTTCGGCCTCCCCCAGCCGTACCCAAAGATCCCAGAACTCTTTCCTTAGATCAAAGCAAGACGCGCTAAGCATATTCGAGGAGTATTCCTTAACTGTCCGGTGCTTAGAAGGGAATTCTTCAACGATGGAACCTCGAAGGGTTTACGGTTTAGGGGTTTAGGGGTTCAGGGGTTTAGGGTTTAGGGTTTAGGGGTTTAGGGGTTTAGGGTTTACGGGTTTAGCGTTCAGGGCTTAGGGATTTCACGGATCTTTGTTCATAGTGACTTTTGCACAAGGTCTAGAAGCAACATGGAAATCGCGAAGCTTAAGCTCCAAATCTTAAGCCCCGCACCGAGGGTCTAAAGTTTAGTGTTTAGGGTTTGGAGAGTATGGTGTTGTTGTTCCATAAAAGATGAACCTTGCTCCTTAAACCCTAACGAAACAAAGTTTGGCGAGTATGGTGTTGTTGTTCCATCACAAAATGAACCTTACTCCCTAAACCCTGATTAAACAAACCGTATTTTTCGCAGAGCGAGGATTCCCGAAAGCTTTTGCTAGAAGTGGAAGTTTGCAATATCGACTTCAGACTTTCCCGGGGCAGTTCCCTCCACAGTACTGCCATCTAATGTAGACTCTGCGCCCCTCGCTAGTGGAAAGCCTTCCCTGCATAAGGCCTATCGATGCTAGGGATCTTACTATCCTGGAATCCTAGAACACTTGGCTCCAAATCCTCGACCTTGCCAAAACCGCTCCACCCTAAACCCTAAACCCTAAACCCAAACCCTAAACCCTAAACCCATGAAGCCAGAAAGCCCTGAACCTCTAAAACGATCACAGTCGACGCTGGGCGTGTCGACAGCGCTGTGCTGCAGCTGCGGCGTGCCCATGGTTCCGAACCAGCCCGGTACCCAGGGGTTAGGTTGGGGGTTATTTGGAGTGGGGTCATAATTTTACTGTGATCATCTCTCATACTAGGGGACTTATCACCCCATAACTAGCAATTTCCATGTATGCCGAGAAAATCTCGAACCCTCAACTTTTGCAAGCTGTGCCCCAAACCTGTTCCAGGTAAGCACTTCAACTTAGCGCAGCAAAACTTCATTGACTTTGCAGATTTGCTGGTTGCAGGGCTGAGGAAAAGAACATGTCTACAGAGTTTACATGCCTCAGCTGAATGAGATTAAGAGTGAGAGAGAGAGGGAAGTTTGGGTTTAAGGTCTCGGGGTGTAGGGGGAGGTTGTAGGGTTCAAACCCAGAACCCTAAATCCAAGAAGCGAAACCCCACAAACTGCACTCTTACAAACGCCCCAAAATGTAAAACTCAAAAGCTCCGAATGGATAGTTGTCAAAATTATGGTCCCCTTTTGGGGTACCCTAAACCGTATGAGAATAGGGACCCAAAAAGGGACCATAGTTTTGACAACTACCAAAATGCAGCCCTAGGACCATGCTTTGCGCTCAATGCCTCAAATCGGAGGCATCCCACGATGAATTTTGTTGTGGAGATGGTTTAGGGTTTAGGGTTTAGGGTTTAAGGTTTAGGGTTTAGGGTTTAAGGTTTAGGGTTTAAGGTTCAGGGTTTAGGGTTTAGTGGGGGACAACACTACCAGGTTCGGATTCAGAGTTCCTTTTGGGGTTCCTTTAAGGGTTCAGGTTCAGGGTTTTTACTTGGAGCGTCGGGGGACTTAGTAACTGGTTATTTTAGGGACGTATAAGTGCCATAACTCCAATTAGGGTCCCGTTAAGGCTACTTATAAGTCTACTTACTACCTACTTACTAAGCCCCCCCGACCCTCCAAGTAGGGTTACCAATACCTCTTAATTAAGGAATATACCTTAACTCAGATTAGGGTTATTAAGGTATTTTAAGGTATATTGTGTTGGAGCCTCTGGGTTGGGGTTCTGAGGGATTTGTAGGGGCTCAGGTATTTTGATTTTGGGGTCTGGGCCCCTTTGCTACGTCGTTAGTGGCTGCAGCTCTTTCATGCTTTTGCATGCACAGTGCTTTGCGCAGGGGGCCAGCAGTATAATCCTAACACAG